TAGGTGCTCCAATAGCGCCTATTTCCAGACCACTATCCTTGAAATAGTTAACTATGCAAGCGGGGTTTTGTGTGCGGAACAGTGGACGTACGTATGGGCGACGTCATTCACGGCGTTTATTTAAACGTCTCCGGAGAAACGCCTGAAGGAAAAAAGGCACATGTGAGCCGCGGGGAATATCTGACACACACGGGGCTCCGGTAGTCAGTTGTGTCCATTGTTGTCGTGAAATATTTCTTTCGACGGAATTTTAGAGGAAAGGGGTGTATGACACAGGATACATGTGAGCACGCAAGCACGCACACTCCCACATCCACACACATACACACAAAGAGCCAAAGCTCAACCCCCGCAAGCACAATTAGGTGAGTACACACACACACACACAGGTTGATTGCCAGTTGAAAGGCGAGACCAAAGAGCCGAAGCTCAACCCCCGTAAGCACAACTAGGTGGCTGGTGTATCGGAAATGGATGAAGTATAACCTTTCACTAAAAAGGCAAAGATTTATAGTAAGAGGAGAACTCACAGAATGGAGAGAGGTAACGAGTGGAGTGCCTCAAGGGTCGGTACTGGGGCCCATCCTGTTCCTAATATATGTAAACAATCTTACAGAGGAAGTAAGTTCATTCTTATCCTTGTTTACTGACGATGCTAAGCATAATAAGACAAATCAGAACTGAGGTCGGCTGCAGCATATTACAAAATTAACTAGACACTCTCCAGAGATAGTGTGAGAAATGGCTAATAGAATTTAACGCTAACATGTGTAAGATTATGATTGGCGTTGGGGAAAGAAGACCTCAAATACAGTAAAGAATGAAGGGAAAGCCATTTTTAGTTCCTGAAAAAGAGAAAAACTTAGGAATGAACATTACTGGCAATCTAACACCAGCGGCACACACCAGCAAGATAACGATGGCAGGATAACCATACTGGCAAACATCCAGTTATCCTTCAGCAACTAGGACAAAGATCCGGTCCGAGCGCTGTGGAATTCACTAGATGACAAAGTTGTTGAAGCCAATTCAATACGCAATTTTAATTGTAAATACGATAAGAAAACGGGTGAGACGAGTCCCTGCATTTAACTAATGACGGTCGAAAGGCTGGGGTTGAATAGCTGAGTCCCGACCGTGCAACCACAGGTGAACACAACTAGGTATTCATCTCCTTTTGGGCAGTGACGTGAGGGGCAGCTGCAGGAGAGGTGGGTGGCGAGGCAGCAGGAGTTACAAGCGGGAAGGCAGGAGTTACAAGCGGGAAGGCAGGAGTTACAAGCGGAGAGGCAGGAGTTACAAGCGGAGAGGCAGCTGAACACATCTCTCTCCCCTATCCACACCCCTACCCTATAATCCTCTCATTTCCAACTGACCTTAAAAAACCAACGCGGAAATATTTGACGGACATGTCATTAAATCATTACACCAATGACTTTACGAAGGCACCTTAGCGGTTAACAAGCCAACAGGGTTAACAAGTACTAGGGTCAACGAGGATTCAAAAACTAATCGAAGCATAGAGAGATGGCTGCCGTGGTAATTATTTCTTAATACGGTGCTCAAGATCAAGATATACAATCAATTTATATGTTAATAAGGTCTAATTTATCCTTTCAGATATCCGTCTTTTTGTCTCTCAGGATTTAGATCTGTTGCATGTGGTGTGTTATCTGGTGAATCTAAATCAATATGAAGGTAACGAATGTTGATAATTCTTGCTTGAAGCATAATCGGTCCGCTAAAGACTGGTCCCGGGTTCTACTCCCTCGCAGGGCGAGACGTGTGGGGGGTACATATTAGGTATTATAATTACTTGCCAAGCCTAACAGGCCTCCTGTTCCTGACTATAGAATACCGTGATAGCTAAAGTAAAATTTATATTTTGTACAACAGCCGGTAAAATCAATTTGTATTGCCTTTAGATAGTGTGTTGTATTTCCCATTGATGGTGTATTGTATTGTCTATTACACTGCCCCAGACCTTTATTACACTGCCCCAGACCCTCGTTACACTGCCCCAGACCCTCATTACACTGCCCCAGACCCTCATTACACTGCCTCAGACCCTCATTACACTGCCCTAGACCCTCGTTACACTGCCCCAGACCCTCGTTACACTGCCCCAGACCCTCATTACAATGCCCCAGACCCTCATTGCACTGCCCCAGACCCCTCATTGCACTGCCCCAGACCCTCGTTACACTGCCCCAAACCCTCCTTACACTGCCCCAGACCCTCCTTACACTGCCCCAGACCCTCGTTACACTGCCCCAGACCTTCATTACACTGCCCCAGACCCTCATTACACTGCCCCAGACCCTCATTACCACCCTAACCCCCCCACTGGACAATGAGGTACACGTATTGTCCACTCATTGAGTGTCGGGGCAAAAATATACTTCCATTTCGCGAGTGTAAATAACGAAGAAGATTGCTTATTACTGCGTATGTCTCCTTAATAGGAGCCTAAAGTGGCGACGTCGGAGAGGAAGAGCCGCGGCCACTAGTGTTTACAAAGTGGCGTCGTCGGGGGAGGAAAAGCGCCTTTAATGTTTACAAAGTGGCGTCGTCGGGAATGAAAAGAGCCTCTAATGTTTACAAAGTGGCGTCGTCGGGGATGAAAAGCGCCTCTAATGTTTACAAAGTGGCGTCGTCGGGGCAGGAAAATGGCATGTACTACCATACTGGCTTAGCACTTTGTCCTCATAAGTACCAGTTTTAATGTCTGATATTCTATTTGTCATCAAAATTACATTTATAATAATTACATCTTGATTATCAATCATTCAAAAAGTAGGACAGAGATTCGATAAGAAAGTAATACAGATTCAATCAGGAAATCAGAATTTGTATAATACATATAGACTCTATTTATATAAATGTCTTTTTTATCGGTTTTTTGTTATTTCTCTTTCATTCTCTTTATTTTTAAATTCCCTTGTTTACTACTCATTGTTTTATTTTTTGTATTCTTTCATATAATTCTCTGTCAACTTCTTATTCTTTTTTTTTGATCGACTTGCTATCATCTCGTCATTTCTTCTACTATTCTTCCTTCATCTCATTATTCCCTGTAGCATTCGTTCTTCCTTTTAACATTCTTTTGTTCTCCACCAATTTTATCATTCTCTTTAGAACTCTCTTGTCTCATTCTGCCATTCTATCTTCGTCTCATCATTCTGCAACTATATTATTATTCTCATCACCATTCTCCTATAATTGCAATATCCTCAATACCATTCTATCTCTGTCAAATCATTCTCCTATCATCTCATCACCCCCCTTCCCCCTCCTCCGTCAACTATGTTTTATCATTCTTCGTCCATATAACCTTTCTCATCATTCTATACTTGTTTCCCATCGCCGTACACCTGACTCCGTCGTCCGGAGCCAGGTATTCAGTTCTGGTGTGTTACAATGTGAAGCTCCGGAGCCTTGGCTTACTCGACAATACAACCCACACCATTGTGTGGGTTGCATAAGGTTGTATAAGGAATACTCCTGGGAAATTTTTTTCCCCATCCCCTCGAGGTAAACTTGACCTGTCAATCATATGAATAGCCTGTTCCTCAGCTTATTAAATATACAAATATACACACGCACACGCACACACACACACACCTGTTGATTGACGGTTGAGAGGCGGGACCAAAGAGCTAAAGCTCAACCCCCTGAAACACAACTAGGTGAGTACAACTAGGTGAGTACACACACACACACACACACACATATATATAACCTTTAGTATTTTTATAGTAATTAATTCCGCACATTATAATTCCATCTATTATGATCCTGGATTATCAGATCTGTGTTGGAAAATTTTAACGAGTTGAAGTTCTGGCTCCAGGAAGGAAAAACATTACCTACTCATCTTCGATTAAATTATGACCTGGTAATTCGTGTCTAAGATCTGTCAAGGGGGATTATCGCTGTAAATTATTAAGACGAAAATACTTAGATTATATTAAAAAGAGTTATGAGAAATGTCAACAACTAGTTGGGGTTTCCATTTCCTCTGGGATTTGTACACCAATCAACTGGAGTACAGATTCCTGAGCCTACTGGGCTCTGTCATATCTACATTTAAGACTGAGTATGGAGTCTGCCTCCACCACACTGCCTACTGCATTCCATTCCATTCTGTGTGTGTGTGTGTATGTGTATGTGTGTATGTGTGTGTGTGTGTGTGTGTGTGTGTGTGTGTGTGTGTGTGTGTGTGTGTGTGTGTGTGTGTGTGTGTGTGTGTGTGTGTGTGTGTCAAAACTTCACAGGATAGTTGAATTATTCAAAAATATAACAAATAATATTACTTAAAATATGAATATGCGACAAAGGAAGTCTGGATTTATCCCAACTGTGGCCATTGACTTTGTAAGGATTACCTGTGCCACGAACTTGCTGGCACTAGTACTGTGCACATCTTGATAGTTTCAACTACATTTTATCTCTAAGTGACATAAATGATGATGCTCAGTAGTGTATAGGAGTGCTCAGCTCTCTGCAGGTGTGGGGGGTGAGCAGGTGTGGGTGCTCAGTGACAACGCACAAATTACGGCCACAAGGGTTAAAGTCGCTTGCCACACTTCTGCCATTCACCTTCATTAACCGGAGAGTCTCGCTAACTACCCGGGCACTTATGGACACTTGGGAATAACTAAAATATCACATAGAGCGTGTTCCGGATTAGGCAAAAAAAAGATGATTGGATACCGGAACCGGTTATATGAAACACGTTGAGTAAAAGCGGCTCTGTGCACAATACTAGCAACAACACAAAAATCCATCACACTATATTAATATCAGCAACAAAGTGGATAGTGTGATTATCACTGACTTTGGCATTCGAGCCCACCATATACGACGGAACAAGGACTCTCGAGCTACTCACCAGGTACATCCAGGTCGGCCTGGAGAGCGAGTTCAATGCTCCTTATTAAGTGATCAAATCGTGTCAATAATCAAGCAATTATAGGTGGATAAAATAGACGGTAGTGACAGGTTATCACAAGAAACAACATTACTAAGAGGTATATTAAGTCAATATTGCATTTGACTGCATATTTCTTCCACTAAGAGTAATAATAGATAATATTAACACAGGTTAACTAGCATCTTGAGAGCGGGAGATGAAGTGCTAGTTAGAGAAGAGAGATGCTGGTGTTATGATGCGCTCAGCTGGCATGACTTGAGAGGTTTTCCCGCCACGACTTCTCGCTGACGAGCCTTCCTCTCTCCTCTTATGAAGGACACTACACACGGGGCTGCTGCACGAGGTAGAACACGCCTTCTTGGGTGACCCAGACGACGCAGGGAGCCGCCCGTTGGTCTCACCATTGTACATCACACCACTCGATCCCCGAGGCAGCCCTGTGGGACCAACGGTCAGGCCTACCATGGCCAAGGGGAAACACGTCAAAAAATCAACACAGTAATGTATGTAAACACAGTCGCAATGAAATTGTATGTTTTTTTTTACCGCTTATAAACATGAATTATCCATCAATGTGATACATTAATACAGCTGGTGACTCCCAGGTACTCGCTCCCAGGTACCCGCTCCCAGGTACCCACCTTGTGTTTGATGCACTCCCTGTACTCTTTGACGTAGAAGTCGGTGAAGAGGATAAAGAAGAGGAGCGCCATACCGTTCACCCAAACCAAGAGGACTGATGGTATCGCGCACTCCCCGAACATTACCTGTCATGAGGTAGCTGGGTTATGGGGGGTTGCTCTCTCTCTCTCTCTCTCTCTCTCTCTCTCTCTCTCTCTCTCTCTCTCTCTCTCTCTCTCTCAAGACATAAACGTACTCTAGAAATCTGAGTGACTCTAATTATTACCTGAAATGCTCCAGGTGATTTATATAATCACGAGTAAATTATATGATTCATGAAGCCTGGTGTTTCACAATGGTTCTTATCCACCATAGTACCAAAGCCAGCAATGAAACTCCAGGCATATCATATCTAAGGTCCCTTAAAATAAAAACCACGAGAAAAACGTGTATCGCGCTCATTGGCACTCACCATCATGTTTTGGAAAAAGACAACAGCACACTGGACAATCTGGAGAGCGGTGAGGTACTTCTTCCACCAGAGGAAGGGACGGACTCGGGGCCCTATGGCCGCCAGCAGGTAATACGTGTACATCACCACGTGGACGAAGGCGTTCAGCAGGATTATCAGGGTCGTGTGACCACCTGGAGAATTACACATTCAGTGGCTTAAATTCGTTTAGATTAGAACATTGGAGAGAAAAACTGCAGCTTCCTTGTGCTGTCTGAAATATTACACACAGTGTGAGTGTGACATTACACACATTGCTCAAATTACACAGGAAATATGCATAAGGTATTACCCACCAGGACACTCCCATCACCCACCAGGACACTCCCATCACCCACCAGGACACTCCCATCACCCACCAGGACACTCCCATCACCCACCAGGACACTCCCATCACCCACCAGGACACTCCCATCACCCACAGAACACTCCCATCACCCACCAGGACACTCCCATCACCCACAGAACACTCCCATCACCCACCAGGACACTCCCATCACCCACAGAACACTCCCATCACCCACCAGGACACTCCCATCACCCACCAGGACACTCCCATCACCCACCAGGACACTCCCATCACCCACAGAACACTCCCATCACCCACCAGGACACTCCCATCACCCACAGAACACTCCCATCACCCACCAGGACACTCCCATCACCCACCAGGACACATGTCCCAGCAGGTTAAGGGGAGAGAGAGGTCACTCACCAGCATAATACCGGATGCCATACCACATACACACGGGCATGAGGGCGTGGTGAACCACATGCAACAAGGAGATGTACTTGTTCTTCTTGTTCAGCACTACGAACATCTGCAGGTGAAAAATCTTGAAAACGTCAATTTTATACATATATACATTTTAAGACAAGTCAGGTGATTAGAACTTTGGTGAATGTAGTGGGCATGGGCAGTGACATCATCGTGGGCACCTTCGCACTCCATTCTTGCTCTCTCTGGCATGCTGGGTAGAATGAATAGCTCCGTTATTTGAGTATTTATGGTGGGTTGTTTCAGACATTTATGTGAAGGGCTTCTTGAATTTTTAATCTTCTTATATCTTGGGTTTTTATCTAATATGAAAGTGTTTTTATTCTGCATTTCTCTTGACAGAGTGATGCCATGACCTTTTCTCATCACATAACCCTGGCAAGAGAAGTTCTGATTAAAAAAACACTCGCATATTAGACAACGCCCAAGATCAGATTACAAGATTACAATTTCATGAAGCCCTTCACATAAATGTCTAAAACAACCCTCTTTAAATACTCCAATAACGGAACAAGTCACTCATCATGAGAGTGAGAACAATATCAGAACGTGAAGATGCCAACGGTGTCATTGCTCAAAACGCCGTGCCCACTACGGTCACCTAAGTTCTAATCACCTGACATATATAAATATATATTAATTATATATCAGTATAATTTAGTAGCAGTCTTTCTTTTAATCATATTTCGTTGAAAACGACTGAAAGTTTTAGATTTATGATTCTGGCACGAATCTTCTCAATATTCTGTATGTTTTTCTTCACTGAAGCAGGAAGATTAAAAATTAACTCTCCAAAGTTCATTTTGACTTATTATTTGCGTCTGACGCCTAGTGATGCGTTTCGTAAGGTCTCGCCTCACATTCTCATAAGACAAATTCTTCTGTGTAGCACCTGATTGTATCCTCAAGTAGTGAGGTGGTTGGTGACATGGATGAATGACATACATTGGGTATTAATAGGGGTCCTATATAATGGGGTTCTGTATAATGGGGTCCTATATAATGGGGGGTAGTAAATTAAGAGTGTGACATGTTGGTAGGATATGTTCTTCTGGCTGCTTCCGTGACTGTTGCAGGGCCATTTGGTCCAGTTTCTGTATTGGTCCGGGGTCTTGAAGTGGGTAGTGTAACTGTGTATTAGCTGGTTATTGATTGGAATTCTTGATATGCAGCGCTTCACTGATGTCTAATCTTCTATTGCCACTGTATCTATCAATTATTTCTGTGTTGCTCGTCAAAATATCCCTGATGATCGTCTCGTTGTGTGTGGCGATTATATATATGTTCCTTGATGGAGTCCTGTTGTTTGTGCATTGTTAAACGCCTAGAGAGAGAGACGTTGTTGTCTTGCCTATATACTGAGTTCGTTGGGGCTGAGATTCCCCAAGTGGACACGTGAAGGCGTAGACAACGTTGGTTTCTTTCAAGGCGTTAACAACGTTGGTTTCTTTCAAGGCGTTAACAACGTTGGTTTCTTTCAAGGCGTTAACAACGTTGGTTTCTTTCAAGGCGTTAACAACGTTGGTTTCTTTCAAGGCGTTAACAACGTTGGTTTCTTGGTGTTGGGAGAATTCTTCATTAGCAGGTTGGCGGTTTTCCTACTCTTATAATATATTGTTAGTTTTATCTTTTGGTTGACGTCAATTGGGGGGTAACGCTCCTCTCAATGATCTTTTTTTAGGGGCTCTTTCCTCTGCTTTGTAGGCCGCGGAGAAGAAATTTCTGTAGAACCATTTTATTGGAAGTACGGGTATTGCGTTGTTAGTTGTTCCGTTGCCTTGTTGCACACCTCACCATCTTCCTTTTTATGATGTCTTCGACATTCTTCTGGGACGAGATCCGGGATATTCTTAAGTACTCTTCACTGCTTCCATCCATTTATCCATCAATCTTTCACTCTACTCTATCCATCTTTTCCTCCATCCATTCATCAATCCATTTGTCAATCCATCCAATATACAAGATATATACAAGACAGTATATATATCTTGAATTGGTGTATATGTAAATACACTAAATTCACTCGCTTTCTCCGGATGGGAGGTCATACATAACTGTGAAACACATCACAGTCACTCACCGTATCTGTGAAATCCACAAACTTGGAGAAGAAGTACCAGTAGCCAGCGTGGACCATCTGTGGGGTGGAAACGGTTGGGGTTAGGAGGAAAATATTATATCAAGGATGGGGTTTGGAATGTAACTGTTGTGAATCAGGGCATTATTTGGTTGTATATACCATTTATTGTCATTCTTGTTGGATATCTCTCCTACTACTATTCATGTGGTTGGATATTCTTCCTACTACCATCCATGTGGTTGGATATCCCTCCTACTACCATCCATGGGGTTGTGAGTGAGTGAGTACCTGTGACTTACCCTGACTGCTTGAGGGTTGTCCGAGAAGTCGCAGATCTGACACAGTAGAGAGTAACTGCCGAACCATCCGCCCATTCCAGCCTTGAAGACGTAAACAACACCAATACATTAATTACTGAATTGTCTGCAGTTGATATATAGGTCATGTTGACATTGACATTGATCCAGTATTTGACATGTTAGTTGACATTTGTCATTCATCAAGAATGACAGTACTTATCACGGCAAGTGGAAGCTGGCATGACTCTGTTGCACACTTTGATGCACAGATCAATGCAAAGTAATTATATGTTAAGATGCTTACAAGGGAAGTAAGGTAGGGGTAATAATGAGGAGAAAACACTAAGCCAGTACGACTATAGAGCACTTGGAGAGGATATGATGACTTTAAGCTGGGATTGGACTGAGGAAAGGAATAGTGCCCAAACACATTGGCCCTCGGGGATCGAACGCCGACCTGCACGAAGCGAGGCCGCTGCTGTCCCGACAGCCAAAGGAGGTTAACCACAAGAATAAAGATGAACATTTACCTCCCAGAAGATGCGGGCGGAGAAGACGACTTGGAAGGCGTTATAAGCCATCATCACCTTCCTGAGATTGGGGAGAGGGTTCCTGGAGGTCATGTACCGAGGGCCCCACCAGGTGACGGTGGCCACGTAGAGGAGACAAGCGGCGATGGTGGGCAGGGGAGAGGTCATCAGGAGCCACGAGTGTTGCCGGGGGTCAGGGGTCAGCTGCCGGCTCACCGTCAGGTCACCATACATGTAGCTCAGGATCACCATCACAGCCACAAGCTTACCTGTGGCCTTTAGTTCCCTCAGGACCTCTGTTAGGGACACACACACACACAGGTAATGTTATATCGGGGGATCGAACGCCGGCCTGCATGAAGCGAGGCCCCTTGCTCTACCTATCAGTTCAAGGGGTGGGTAAGGTCAGGTAATTATGAGCAAAGAGATCTAAGCCTTTAGGACTATATAACACTCTTTAAAAGGGAACGAGGATAAGGATTTAGGATAGGACGATTAGGAAATATTGAAGGATAAAATCCTCGGAGAATATTAGCAAGTGTATGTCCAATGTCTTCCAGTTGGGAGCTGAGGAGACAATATTTACCTCTCTCGTCCTGCTGAGGAAGACGTGTTGACGCCTGACGGCGGGTCACAACGTCCTCAGAGGTCATCACGGCCGCTCTTCTCCTCCTCACTTTGTGCACACTTCACCACGCCTAACTGTAGCTGCCGCTATGGCAACACTTTGGCCACGAAAGCGCTCTCTCTCTCTCTGGAAAAGTGCACCGCCTGTGGATGTACATTTGGTCACATGTGAACCTTGTACAAGAAAAGTGTTCACACACCCGGCACCAACCACTTTGTAACGGTATGTGAACATATTAAATTTTTAGATAATTTTGTTCACAAAGGTTCATTAAATGTTTAAATAATCCCTCCTTTCACTCTGAAATTGTTAAGAAAGTTTTGTAATGATCCAAATGTTCTTTCATATGAAGAGAACATTATAGTCTACTTGAACACACAGGCAATAAGTAAGGATTGTTCGCTGTCTATGGAACACCACAAATAATAGCTTGCTCGTTCATGCAGCCTTTATTTACTAATCATATTTACTAATCACCATATTTACAGGCGATGAGTCACAATAACGTGGCTGAAGAATGTTGACCAGGCTTGAGAATGAACTTGAATCGACTTGAGAATGGTCCAGGACGGACCGAAACGTCGTCGTCCCTTCACCTTCTAGTGTGTGGTCTGGTCACCATATTTACATATACATTAACTAATCGCCATAGCATGGATAGTTAGGTAAGGTAATTAACAGAAAGCGCAAAGCCATTACCACTATATCGTACCTGGAAGGGATGAGGATAAAGATTTGGTATAGGACGGTGAAATAGAATATCCAACCACTTGGACGATCAGGATTAAATGCCGACCTACATGAAGCGATCTACAATCCAGTCCAAGTGGATAATAACATTTCATTTACCAGGATAATGGGAGCCTCGAACCTCCCGACACATTAAGGGGAGTTGGTGACCCAGTAGGTACAGCTGCTGGCTAGTAGCGGGAACCGATAATAGAAATTGTGATAGTAAAGAAAGGACTTCTCCGCTATTTGGGAATAGCGGAGAATAAACTCCCCCTAGCAACGCTATAGTCTTGAAATCGGCATCGCTGTTATCAAATGTCTTTGATTTTACTCTACAGAGTACAAGTAAATGATGTTAGTGTGTCATTTCATAATAGTACTATAATTTAGAGTTAGCTTGCTAAACGTATTGCATAAACATATTTGCTAATTAACTGTTACTTAAAATCGAGAAAGCAACATCCCTCTCCGCCATATTTTTTGTTGATTGGCTTTGCACACCAATAATCCATGAAGTGAGACTCCAATCCTTTATTTCACGTAGCTTGCTATCAAGAGGATATGTGAGAGGCCAAAGGATCTTCAACGAACAGAAAAATATGTTTAGGGTAATAATTAAGTGCATAAATTGTGACCCAGAGAGACTGCAACAGAACCATTGGTTAATAAAATAAGAAGAGACAAGATCGCCGGCAGTTGTCAATCTCCCTCGTGGTTCATCAAATTAAGATACTTGACCCAGCTCAAGATTTCTACGAGTCTAGGACAATTAGATTCCTTGCACAAGGATTCCTCTACGGTTTATCAATGCGTAATTATGACTGTTTTAAGTTATTGATTTGTACAATAATATTAAATAAACACCCCCCACCCCACCCACGTCACCAGGAATGCCAGTCATATTACTGAGTTTAGCCCCATACTCAAATACGTTTGGTAATTTGCGTATGGATATAATTATTAATTTTATTTATTAATTATTCAATGTACTAGGAATTTTCAGATAATTTGATTAATGTCAATCACTTTGATCTATCAAAGTTACCTTAACGAACCAGCGCCCTGCTGCAACGGACAAACAATTATGGAATTCCAAGTGCGGGTTCTCTTCAGATATGGCGGGAGCAACAGACATATCACCTCGAACTAAATACTACTTATTTATGGTGGATTAGGATTCAACAGAGGGGCATCATCTGAAAAAAGCTTTGCCACCAATTATTGGATCCCTCTGTTAATTTCTTAATAATTGAATCATGTTTGATCTAACATTCATATTGAAATCGAATAACTGAGGATCATTACAAGGTTGAGTTCTATTACAAAAGTCTTTTAACTTCTCTGTTTCTCCTCTGTTGAAATGAGTTGTCTGGTCCATTGTAATAGACTTCTAGTTTGGTCTACTTGATGGATAATGTACACTGAGATCAATGTATTTAGACTTCTTTATCCACAATGGTGTGGATTGTGTGGATATATATATATATATATATATATATATATATATATATATATATATATATATATATATATATATATATATATATATATATATATTATATATATATATATATATTCACTACTGTATATTGAGTGATTATGTACCCATGTCACGCCTCGCGTCGCCTCACTATTGCACTGAACTATAAGTTACCAATTTTCCACACGGCGCAGTTTTCGTGCACTTTCAGACCTTTATGTCTGTTGTGTGACACGTTACACTTCACTATTCACTCTTCACTATAGTTCAAGTATTCCGAGATACACATATATATGTATAGTGTACAGTGATACCTTAATTGGGATGGTGGTGGTGACAATATGGATGGTGGTGGCAGAAGTAGGAATAGCAGTACTTGTGGTGGAAGTAGGAATGGTGGTAGTAGAGACAGGGGCAGTAGTGATAGTATGAACAGTATAGTGGTGGTAGTAGGGATGATGGTGGTGGTGGTAGAAGGAATAATAGTGGTAGAGGGGATGGCGTCAGTTAGCGTAGAAACAACAGGAGGACCCATTCGTCAGTCAAACATCATTGTAAATTTTAAGGTCCACATCTCAAGACGAATCAAATAATAAATTGTCGAATTCAAAACGCCACAAAACATCTTTGCACTAACCAGCGAATCTACCAATGCTGAACGGGAAACAACCAATCAGTCAGTCAGTCATTCAGTGCCTGTGCTGGCCGGCTGAGGCAGGCAGCCTCCCACAGTAGCCTCAGTAACCACACTACTGGACCTGGGACGTCCAGTACCTCT